TATATATATATATATATATGCATTTAAAAAAGTAGAAACTACACAACAGCAAACTCACTTTTGATTGAGCAAGATCCAAAAGCTTTTTCATCCTGATTTGCTGAGTAACTATCTGCTAACATGTGTGGAGTAGAAAATAAGATACTGCCGGTAGCTATTAGAGCCAATCCCGCACCAAGAACGGCCGGCTTACTGTGCCGACCACCAAAGTATGACACTGGTATGCAGAACAAAACATAACCAAAGTCATAAAACTATAATAAATATTGTACAACTAACTATTTGCAGCTATTCATCAACACCCACCTGTACGATACGACCCATAGTGCTAGTGCTAAGCTTGAAGCGGCGTTCTATTGACGAGATCGCTGACGGAACAAAACCATTGACAATAATACCTTGTACTGCGCAGTACCAACAAAGTAGGAGGATCATCCACTTGCGGGAGCCAAGGAAGGACAGCCGGGAAGGTCTGAAAACTATAAGATGTTTCGAATGTTCTGCTGTACTAGTAACATTGATTACCAACTCTTCGCTAATATAACGTTTAATCACCTAGAGAAACCTTCGAGTTACCTTCCCATCGAATTCCACTAAAATCCAGATATTCTTGAATTTTGCGGATAGAACGAGTGTGTAATAGGATTTCTTAGGTAGTAGGGATGATCGACCATTATCAGCGCTTCTTACCAAGAGATCAGCTAGGCAGGAGATGGGAGGGGGGAGGGGGTCTCAACTTCAAGGCACTGTTGTGCAACGCCACAGCGGGGAAGCTTATCGCTTACGCTAGTGCCTTTACTTCTCATGCTTCTGTTCTTATTTAGTTGTATTCTAAAAAATTTGTACTTGTGATACTATTGTCTTTCTTGTTCTGCGGTGGCTCTGGTTTGCACATATACAAAACTGGCTTTACAAGACCCTTCTATAAAACATCGAAATAAGCAAAAATGAGTGGTTTTCTATGAAACTTTTTATGTGAAGCAGAGTACCTGAACCTCTTTGGTGGTGCACCTGTATGTATATGTTCTAGTTACAAAGACCTGTTTCTGAACCGAACCTTGCACAGGATAACTTGACCAACGGCAAAGCCATAATTTGTTTGAGGGAAGACAGAAAGAGTTTGTGAGCTTACATGCGCGTATTTAACCGGATACAACTACTTTGCCAAAAGATAATTTCAGTTGAGTCTGCACGTTTCTCACAAGTTCTGTATTAGAGTTATGTGCGCAAGTATGGCATTATTTGAAAGAGCATTTCACGGTGAGTAGTATGATGTAGCTTCATCTCAATGCGTATCCATTTCAAAAATTTTACAAACTTTAAAAGATGCGCAACCAAACACTCGGCCTTCACTTCTGCATGTTGTACTATTTCAAACAAGGAAAGTGCAGCAGAATCCCATCGAACTTTGTGCAGTGCTACTGGAGAGAAGATCGTAAGTCAGAATTGGTTTGAACGTTATCAAAACGGAGACAAGATCTTAGAAGACGTCTCGCGTGGCGGACAACCTCATGCTGTGATCGTGAATTAAGGGGGATAGTCAAGACGTATTCAACTCAGACGACACTTTAACTGCACACATGCCACTACTCCATATGGATAAAAATTATTGAAGCAGATGGAGATTATCTAATGGACGGATCGCGTTTGTTAGAGCTTGGTAATAAAATTATTGATGCTCAAACCAAAATTATTTTTTGACCAACCTATAGATATTTTTGGCCAGAAATCGTGCTTTTGCAGATATCTCTTGGCGAATACATTAGAAAGAGGAGAACTTCCTGATGTATGAGATGCGGTTAATCTCTAGCAGAAGATAATTATACGCTATGCATAAAAATTAATTTGCAAAGTTCAATGGTTTTCGCTACTAAAAGTACAAGATTGTGGGTCGAACTCCTTTTTGAGTTTGAAAGGATTGGGTGAGCACGTTATAAGGGACACACTTAGATACATTAAGGAGAAGGTGCCATTTGCAACCCATCTCACCCAACCTCGCAAATAGAAGCCCCAAAGACGTGGTCTACTGGGAGCCTACTTCCAATTAGAGCACAAAATGTTCGATGTCTTCACTGGTAGATGTTCGGGCTCAACCTTTCGCACGTATGCGAGCGTCTGTGTGTTCTCTTTCAAGAAAGCATATCCACCAATTAAGCGTTACGGCGTCATCGGCAGAAAATAGCGACTAAGGATACCTCCGTACTTCATAAGGGTCAACCAATTCACATCAGCCAATTCTACAAGCATTAGAATCGGCCGAACGAGGGTACGGCGCAATTGCGTTGTGCAAAAATCGATATTAACCGCACTACAGACCAAATCCGCGCTTTTTGTTCGAAACTTTTTTTCCTGTAAGCAACTTAAGGTTTCCAAGAATCGTAAACTATTTGAAACAGGCACGTCATGAGGTGCGTAGCCACAGAGAACGAAAATTTGCCATATTAGTATGAACTTGACAAGATCTTCAAAATTTTAGGGCAACTTAATACCCCTTCCGCAACGTTTCACAACATCTTCCAAATCGATAATATCAGCTTTAGTCCATTTTCAACGTTTCCGAACAAAAAATTCAATCCTTTCCGGATTAAAA